ATTAGTTGAATTTTATTATTTATTTAAAATTTATTTTTTCAATTTAGCAATTTTCTGTAAAAAATTAATTTTTTAAATTTTAAGCATATATTTTGACCAACATTCTTTAAAACTAAATAAAAATGAGATGTACAGGATAAAATTTTACTAAAGAGGGGGAGGTAAATCTGGTAAAAAAAATCTTTATGGATTATAAAGGCAGATTGTAATTTAGATACCTATTCCAATTGTTTTTCTTATTTAAATTGTAATTTTATGGATAATAATTTTTTTTAACAGATGATTATTTCTTAATTGTCACTTATATCATTACTTATAGGCTTTTTTCCTAATTACATATTATTTATTCTGCTAATATAGTGTAAGTAATATGGATAGGAAAAATGATATCGAAATAAAATTTCCAGACTGACTTGACATGGTACCATGGGTAGCTAAACCCTTCCCAGCAGAGGTCAGATAGGCATTATTTTAGGAATTTTTTTTTTTTATAGCATTGGATTTTATATAGTTTTTTTAAGAAGTTAATTTAGATTAAATATTTTACATCTTTCTTTTAATTTATTATTTGGTTCCTAACTATAAGTAGTGTCGGATCCCTTCATTGCCACCATGCTAATATAGTGTAGTGGTATGGATAAGTAAAAATATATCGAAACAAAATTTCTTTATTTTAAATTTATTTATTATAAAATCTAACTAACTCGCTATTAACCTAATAAATTATATACTTTTCAAAAGTAAATAACAATCAATGTAACTATTAGATTAATATTATGTTAAGTGAAAGAAATAATAGACAAAGCATTATTAAAATTTCTTTTATTATTCCTTTTGTTATTTTAATTATTTTTGCAAAGATTATAATTTTATATGGATGGGTTTTAATTTAATCGTCAATATGTTTCATTAAATCATCACAACACTGTAAGTCCGTAAGGTAAAATATAAGTTAATATAATTCAAATATGTTAACATGTGCATACAATTAAATACTTGCCTCTTTATTTAAAATATTTATTTTTCATATTTAAAATAAAAAAATGCATAACAAAATATATATTTTATTTATTTATATCTCACTATTAAAAAAATTATTAAAATTTAAATATTCATTTTAAAAAAATATAACAAAAACATAAATAAAATTCAACCAATCATATGACAGATAAATAAATAAAAGATAACCAATGGCAATTATGGTTCACTCTTGCCGAATTTTTGTTATTATTTTATTAAATAAAAAACGAACCGAAAAACTAAGAATTTTATGGATAGATACAGATGCTCGCTCTTGATGCATCTCTGAAAATTTAATAATAGGTGAATTCCATGACAAATCAATGAGTTTCACCCGGCCCCTTCAGATTTTTTCTAAAATTTTTACTAGAGTTTGCATATATAATAACTAAGAAAATTTTTTTAACCTTTAACAGCGGCAGAAATACTGACCTTTAAAGGTCGTAAGAATCATTTTAGGCAAAATACACTCCCTTTAATTTTAGATATCTTTGGATATAGCAAGAAGAATTATTTAAATTTCTTTATATAATTTATGGTAAGCTTCTAAATTTATATAATTTTAAATATTGTTAATAAAATTAAATTTCAGGAAATGAACATAAAATCTAATTGGCATTTTTTATTTATTTTTGATTTTTATAGCTATAATAATGGCGATGTCAAATATTTAGTTTTAAAATATACGGCCTGGCCCGGATATTATTTTTTAAAAAATTTTCAGACCCGACCCGGGTATATTTAAAAAATTAAAATATGGCCCGATAAGGCCGGGCCTGTAGGTCTCAGATATTTTATAAATAAAAGATTGGAAAAGCGGGGGTGGAGGAGGGGGTAAAACACCTTGGGTGATTAACCAGAATAAAAATTTACAATTAACGATAAAATTTGAAATATTTGTTGTAATAAATTACATGCTACTCCATGAGAAATATATTAATGATGCTGCCTTGGAACATCTAAATGATTCATTATCATTAATGAGCTAGACATCATTTAAGAAACTTTTAAGGAAAAAAAGATATTCTATTAAAAAAAATTGAAAATTCAAGAAAAAATTAAGAAAGATTATAAAATATCAAAGATGTTAAAAAGTTAGTTAATTAATAGTAAGTAAAATATTTAAACTTAAACCATTGAAACATACACTATTTTCAAAGCTAAATATCTTTATTCAATTTATATAAAAAAATTGATTGAAAAAAAATTAATCCAATAAAACAAATTAATATTATCACAAAAAAATTAATTCACATAATCCAGAAAAAATTATTTGAAAATTTCGTCAGAAGGTAATATAGAATGTGAAATCATTAAACAATTGAAAAAGAAATTTGAACAAACACATGCGCGAAATGAAAAAATTAATATATTGAATATTTTCCTAAATTCTTGAACCCTAAAAACAAAAGTAATTTTCTACGACTGAATTTATGATCATAGGGAGCATAAAAACAAATTGGTCAGAGAAGAGGGTGTTTTCACCCACTCCAAATATTACCTTGGAGTATTTCATATTATAGATATTATTGGAATTTTTTTAATTTCGATTAAAACAATGGTATAATGCCTTATTTAAAAAACCAGTCTTGTCAAGCGGCTCAATTTCGACCCACATTTTTAAAAACAGCTAACTCAATATGTTATCCAGAATATTTTTCTGGTTAAGATATCAAGTTTTACCCGTTTATAAAAATCGGCTCAAATAGAATATAAAAAACTCATTTTGTATTAAAAAAGATCAAAGAAGAGAAGTTTGAAGAAAAGACTCTATTGCATCTTAAAGGATTATATTCCTATTTTGAGGAAACTCATATTGATATAAAAGTAAACTTTAATAAATATGCAGATTTACAACCAAATTTTTTATATTTACTTTAAACTAAAATGTTTGGTATTTTTAAATCAAAATTTATCAAAACCTTTTTTTTCTGATGGTACAATACAAAATAATAAAGTTATAATCTAAGCCATCATTGCATCAGCTTGATCTTGGTATCAAAGCGGAGTAACATTTCTTCGTAATAGCCGATGAGATCATATACCAAAAGGTTAGCACCAAGAGCTAACCTTCAGCATCCATTTGTGCATCAAATATTAAACACCTTAGATTTATTGAATTTTTGTAAAATCAGTGGAATTAATTCGCATATGCATGAATATGGGAAAAAATTATTGTTCCATACCAAAGGCCAAACCGCTTTTATGCCTAGGGAAAACTAAATTACGGTTTAAATATATTCATATTGTGAAAATTATTCAATTTTAATATTAAAAATTTAATAAAATAAAATTTTATCTAATAAAGTTATGATCATAAATTGATTGTATTTTGTAGTTATTTCTATGAGAAGAGAAATTTAATTCATCAAATTAAATACCCCACCCCCTCCTAAAAAAAAATTTTCCAGATCTTAAATAACTTTTCTTTTAAATATTTGATAGTTTTGACTATATTAATATTATCTATTAATATCCAAAATTTAAAAAGAATATTTGCAATAGAATAATGATTAAATGCCGATAAAAAAAATATACTAGTTATTTAAATTGATTGAGAAAATATAAAAAAAATATTAAAATTTTGTTTTCTAATTATATAAAAATAAAATATATTCAAAAAGAAGCAGTTTAGCGGATAAAAAAAATATATTTTTTTTATAAAAGTGTTGATTTCTTCAGCCGAGTAATAAATAATTTATTATGTGTTTTGGCCATGCAGACCTAGCTGTGTGACTTTTAATTCTGTGATAAAGAAAATATTCTCTAGATCTGAATATTTGTTTTTATTTGAAATCTCCGCTTGGTAAATCAGTGAGGTAGATATCATGAATTTAGCTGGAAATTTCTATAGGTTCTAAGATAGATGGAATTTTGACCTTTTACATCACTTTTAAAATTATAGAGTGGATCGTATTAAGTCGGGAATGATTTAAAAAATGCAAAGGAAAGCCTTATTTTGTTACAATATGTTGACTGCGATCATCATATACGGTGGGTTGAGGCTAAATACTGATAAATCTGAGTTAATCTGGATGACCTATTGGTGGCAAGACTTCGAAGTCAGGATTGATAGATTTAGGTCTTTTAGATGCTTGTTTGATAATAGGTGAACAACGGAGTGGGCAACTAAAGGAGAATTAAGTCCTCTATAGGGATATTTTGTGAGCTTGATCAGAGTAATAAAATTAATACTCCATTTCTCCAGAACTAGCTCAGATCATTGTCCACATAATCGGTTATATCATCAATATTTGCTTGTGTGCTTAAGAAAATGAAAGCGGTTAATTAAAGTGTTGATGTGAAGCGAATATTTGGATAAGAAAGTGGCTTGGAGCCATGAGTGATTATGAAATCTTGAATATAGAATGGGTTTCAAGAGTATTCGGATTTCACATTCATATGTGGCTTGAAATAACTCATTTTTAAAATAGGAGACTTTTGGAGCGCGAAATTTTTTTTAGGTATATATTAAAAATTATTTGATTAAAATGAACGAGTAGGGATTAGAAAGTAGATAACGGCTTTTTCGAGTTAATTTGTTCTTTTCCACACTTTTATAGGGTGAAGGAAGCGAACTAAGTTTAATTATTGAACAATATATATCATGTATGTTTTATTTAAAATAAATTAGTGTTATATATTATTCAAAAAATAGTGTTTATTTGCCAAATAAATATATTTAACTCATTAATCATGCTTATATTCTTATGAAACTAGAGTTCCTAGTAAAATAACTCTTTAGTTATTTCAAATTTCTTTCTGATAACCTTAATGCTCTGACTGTAAGCGGATTAGTTTACGTTATAATGAGGGTGACTCCCTCTTTTTTAAAATAAAAACGGGGAAGGGGACTTCCACATTAGTCTTCATTCATTTGGAGGTCTGGATGGCTCCGTATAAAAATGGTTTATTGAAAAATATAATGTTAATAATTTATCTTAATTAATTTATCATTAAAATATTTTCATGGAAATAAGATTTATAGCTGTATTTATCTGCCTGGTTCTTAGTGTTTTTGCCACAGTACCTCAATATGAAAAATTCACGGGCGAAATTCTCTTCTATATGGTAATTTTTTTTAATATACAATTTTATAATTTTATAAACGTATATATATGGACCTTTATACTTATAACTTTGGCCTAAATTAATTACCCATAAAAATATTATATTTTTTTTTGTGTGGGAAGGGGGGGGGGATAATCTATTTTTTCCCCTCATATGCGCCTATTTATGGTTAGTTTTATAATGTATTTTATCTTATTGTTTTTAATACTTTTAAAAGATATATTGAACCATAAACAAAGACTGTTTGCTTTTTAAAATGAGACAAAAAAGTCTTCCATCTTTGAATGATCAAGAATACGTTTTTAAAAATAATAATTTATATCATTATTATCTAAATTGCATAAATTAGATATTTTAGTTTGTAAGCAAAATTTTATAAATGATTTATATATTTTATTTTTCCAAAATATTTAATGCAAGTTGGTGTAAAAAAATATTAATAATTATCGGTTTTTAACCGTATTTCCGATTGGTAGACCAGTAGTGCAAACTATTTGGGATTAGGTTCAATGGTGTCAAAGAAGACGTGAAATTATCTAAACAACACTTTAAAATTTTTCTCAGAAAAATATAATGGAAAGTCACCAATTGTTCCAAAATTGTAACTAATGGTATATTATAAGTTACCAATCCATCTCTGGTCCAAAAGCCGCCTAAGAGTATTACCGTTAGTGATCTGCATCGGGCCTAATTTCTCAAGCCAGGCCCGAAATTTTTTTAAAAAAATTTTGCCGGTCCGGCTTGAACCCAAAATTTTTTTAACAAAAAAGTTTTGCCGACCTGGCCCGAACCTGAAATTTTTTTAAAGTAATTTTACTGGCCCGGCCCGAATTTATTTAAATATTAAAATTAATTCTTTAAAATATTATAATTACTCAAAATAAAAGATATATGTAGCATGGCGTATAAAAAAAATCAACATAAAATTGATAAATTTATATTTAGAAAAATTTCCAAGGGGCGACCCCACCCAATTTTTTAAAAAAATATTTAGGCTCGAACCAGTTTGAACCCATATTTTTTTTAAAAAATTGACCCTGCTCTTTTTGCAGATCTCTAATTACCGTTGTATATATCAATTTGTTAAATTTAAAATTGCAAGGAAGATTTCTAAAATAATTTTGAAAAACTAGCTGTTGTTTATGGTTGAAGTCCATTTTAGATAGTTTCGGGGAAATTAATTAATAATGTTGTTCTTTTATGTTAATAAGATCGGTTAGACACTTATATGCTCCCCAATGAAGATATATCTCCACCCTTTCGCCGGTAAAAGTGCCAGCATTGGTAAATGAATGGCTTATAATAATATTAAACATTTATTTAGACAGATTAATGAAAATTGTTCTAAATCTTAATATAGTATATGTAATAGTTTAGTTGGGGGGGGGGTGCGAGTGGATCTACACAGAAAAAAATCTATAAACTTACCACACTACAATGGAATTTTAAAGATACAATCAGGACCGTTGCAGAGTCCAGTCTACTCAAGATTGAAGGAATTTCAGCAGATTTCAAGGCACGAGATATAGTGTTTAGTTTTGTTAAACAGCTCGATTTGAGCTGATTTTTAAAAACGGCTTACTCAATATTTTAGTCAGAAAAATAATGTACAAGCTTCGAGATTCTGCTAATAGATATCTAAATCTTTGTGCCTTCAATGGCAAAAATCCTCAAGCTTGCGTAATGTTTTTCTGACTAAAATATTAGTTCACAGTTTTGTAAAATCAGGTCAAATAGCCCTGTTTAACAACACTAATAGTGTTATTACATTTTGTGTTTAGAAATCTACCTTTATATCCTTTACAATGCAGGGAGTGAACTAAATTAAATCCTGAAATATTAGAAAATATTTTAGTTATCCGTTCGAATTCTCTTTTTAAACCTAAATAGTATAGTATACATATTATTTTATTCATTATTGTATTTACGCATGTTTGTTTTTATCTTATTTATTTATGAAATAAAAAAAACTAATTTGTCTAATTTATATTTCCTAAATTTAATTAAAATATCTATTAGATTATCATGGATAAATTAAATAAGAAATTATAAACTAAAAAGATTTTTCTCTAAAATTAATATATACATGGTTAATGATTAATTTTTTATAAAATTAAATTTATAAAAACCGGAACAAACCGAAAAGAACCGTTATAAATTATAAACCGAACCGAACCGATATGATTTTTTTTTAAAAACCGAAATGGAACAAAATCTTTATAAAATTTTAAACTAAAAACCGGAACGAACCGAACCGTTATACTAAACGGTTCGAAACCCTGGTAATTAGATCTAACTACATCAGTTTTGTATTCTCTATTGATGGATAAGAATAACTATTTTAAACTCATTATAAATAAATTATATATTTTTATTTTTAGCGCACAATAAATTACACTTAAAAATTCAAAAAAATATTTGATTATTTTATTAAATTCTTTCATATATATAATTAAGCTCATATATGTATAAAAATGTTAAAAAAAGCAAAAATTAACATATTCGATTCCGCTTTGAAGGCCAAATGTTTCAGAATGAGCTGGTCCCCATTTATTACCCCTTGGCTACGGCCCTCACACTATGATTGATTTGAGATATTTTTTATTTAAGTACTTGTTTTGCTTTTTTCCTCCTTCAAAAAATTTGTAATTTAAATATCGTATTAATTACACTGTAAATTCATAAGATTTATATTTTCAGGAAGTAGTGATGGTATCTTGGTTTATTATCGAGCTAATAGCCAGAATATGGTCCTCTGGATGTCGTTCTAGGTATATGCACTTAATTGGACGATTGCGTTTTATGATTAGACCTTTTACTCTATTAGGTTTGCAATTTTTATATAATAATCATAATGGAGATAATATGTAAATTATGTATTAATTTGAGAAGAATTAACCCATTTATCTAAAATGTATCCAACATATATTTCGTATTGGGATGTGGATTTTCATAATTTAAAAAAAGAATTAAATTAATAATGGATATAAAAATGTAATCTGAATTTTATTTATGTTATATTAAGTGCTCAGCCCTAGGCGTTATTTACATAACAGAGCTATATATACAACAGAGCAACGATTGGCTCTCTCTGAAAAAGCCCATAATACTTGGATAAAAAAATGACTGGAAATATAAGAGAGGAACCGGGGCAGGCTACAGTTACCTGTGCGCGCAAGAGACAAAACCATTTACTTAAAACCCCATTGGAAATAAGAAGATGGGTAAAGAATTATATGCCCGATTAAATAAATAATCTTTATAGGGTTTTGTTGGCTATGTTAATTTTATTCTTATTTAGCATTGCATGAGAACTTAGAACAAAAATATAAGATTAAATTAACAAAAAACACCAACACAAGATCAGCATTTATCAATAAAATTAGTTATTATATCCATACTTTGAAATCCAAATATGAAGATATATATTTGACAATAATCAAACACCTGAAATTACATCCTTTTTTAAAATCTTTTACTTGTATAATTTGAGCATAAACCATTTTATCTGAAGTAAAAATACGTACAAAATTAGTTTGGCATGCTTTGGACAAACTAATTAAATTGTAGAAAAACTCATAACCAATTTGGTCAGGTATATTTATTAAAAAAAATATCCCGAATACGCATGGGGATGGGGATTTGGATTGTATTTTTAAAAAAAATTTAAATAAGAAAAATAAGGCATTCGAGATCTCGAATCACACATTGGGATTTGGATTCCCAACGAATTCCATAACCAAATACGAAATATATAATTATAAAATTTTTTTAGAAAAATTTAATAGCCCCTTTTTTTGTAAATTATTATTCAATAAACGTTCATCTAATTTTTTCTTATTCTTTAAACTTATATTTAACTTAGCCAAACAATTTTATTATAATTCATTTTCCGCAATATTTTCTATTTATACTCAAAAATCATTCATTAAAAGATTTTATAGTAATCATAGCCTCTTTGATTGTACTATTATTGGGGAGTACTGGACAAGTATTTGCTGCTTCCGCTTTACGTAGTTTAAGATTTTTTCAAATATTGAGGATGGTTCGAATGGATCGGAGGGGCGGAACATGGAAATTATTGGGATCTGTTGTATGGGCCCATCGTCAAGTTTATAATTTCTATATATAATTAGTGATATAATTACAAAATCGATATAGGAGCTCATAACAACTTTGTATATTGGATTTTTGGGCCTAATATTATCTTCCTTTTTGGTTTATTTGGTAGAAAAGAATGAAAATCCACAAAAGTTTGGGACTTATGCTGACGCTCTATGGTGGGGAGTAGTAAGTTGTATAATTTATTATAAAATATTACACGTTCACCAAAAAAGGTCACATTATGTACTGTTGGGTATGGAGATGCCGTTCCGATAACCTGGAGTGGCAAACTAATAGCATCATTCTGTGCGCTCATGGGAATATCCTTTTTTGCTCTTCCTGCTGTAAATTTAACAATATTTTATATTCATTTTTTTAAAGAAATTTATCTATTTTAAACTTTTAAAATCATAATAATTTGCGCAATATTTATTTTATACCCTGATTCTTAATAAAAAATAATATTAAGTTGATCACTTGTTATAATTAGATAAAAGCAGAAATATTTTTAGAATAAAATTCAGTTAATTAAAGAATCGTTATAACCCTTTTAAGGATTTCAATGGGATAATATAAATTCATATTATTATTCTGCAAACCTTTTTAATAGTAAAAAAAGTTTAAAAAAATTGTATTCTCTCATCATTAAAAAATTTAAATAATCCTCCTTCAATTTATAAAAATAAAATGCAAATTTCTAACATAAAACATTAACATAAAAATTCTCAGAAATAAAGAAATTAAATAAATAATAACGAATATATTTTAAAAAAAGAGTCAACGTGCAATTTACCTAAGCAAAGCAATAATATCTAGATCGAAGTATTGCTCCTCATAAATTATTTATATGAAAGAAGGAATAGGGGGAAATGTGAATTACCAGTCTTATTGTTAGTATCTTTTTAAAGGTAACTAGTTACTTGGCTATGTATTATAATTCCCCATCATTCTTGAAGTAATCACTTAATAATAAAACTATTCAAGTGATCGTAAAAATTGATACTTAAAATGGCTTGAATGCAATCACAAACAAGCAATTTTGTAAATTTAAATCAAAATAAGACATTTATGATTCATCCATCAAGGAGTATCTAAATCACCCATCATTATTGGGGTATTAGCTGCAAGAGATATATCTGAATCGCCCTTTATATTTGATTGGTGCTAGTTTAATTATAATAATATAATTATCTAATATATAATCTCAATAATCAAAACATCATATCATCTCTCCTAATAAAATTTAAAGAAATTATATAACCTAATGTAAAAATAATTGAGTAAAATTACAAAATTTGGCGGACTCTAAAATTGTCTAATTTGGAGGGCCCGTGACATGCCCCCCCCCCCGGACCCTATGCATAATGGTGGTAAAATTAAATTAATTTAGTATTATTTACGAATTTAATTTTTTTAAAATTTATAAAATAATTATGTGCACCCTTAAACATCTGCCTGTAGTGCTTGTAGCTAAAATCTGCACTGTTTCTGTTAATGATATTTTATGAAAATTTTTTATTTAACTTAATTCTATATTCAACTATCATGCATGTGACTTAAATAATATTGACAAAATTTTACTAAAATCAAAAAATTATAAACATCAGCGCCAAAAGATCTTTTAAAAATACTTATTTTTATAATGAGATCTGTATTATAAAAAAAATCATCAAACACATCAGATTGTGTTGAAAAACGATTGGCACAGCCCTATGTTAATAATTAAATACCAAACCAATTAGTCTTCAAATATTAATCAAATAGACTATAACTTTTAAATATTTAACTATCAATATAAAACCATTATTAAACTACATTATTTTTAATTTAATCTGTATTATAATATTTTCAATGACTTTTATATATTAGGAAAAAAAAAATTTGAGTTTAATTAATAGAGTAATAATTCATATCTTCTGCATTGCAGTTTACCTAGGTTGCAGTTTACCTAAGCAATGCAGTTTGGGCAAACCATAATTATAGAGAATCACTACTTATAATGAAACATCAGTAGTATGCAATTATAATAAATGTTTTGCCTTATTATAAAACAATATTCAAATAAAATTTTGATTTATACTATTTTATATTTATAGGGTATCTTAGGATCCGGTTTTGCTTTGAAAGTCCAACAACAACAAAGGCAAAAACATTTAAACAGAAGAAGAGTTCCTGCAGCTATTTTGATTCAAAGTTTATGGCGGTGTTATGCTGCCGATATAAAATCAACTTCAGAGGCTACTTGGAAAATATTCTATAATGCAAATTCATATAGCCCAACACCATATTTTCCTGCCCCATCAATGTACTAATACACATTTTTTATTTGCATACAAATATATGGCTGTTATTTATTTCAACAGTATTTTATTCGAAATTAGAGTAATTTATAATAATATTTCCTCATTGAAATAATTTTTTTAGGAATAATAAAATTTAACTAGTACTAATTACCATATAAAATTTATTATATTAACCAATCATATTTTTAAAAATGAAAATTTAAAACACAAATAAAGAATATTGGAAAATACAAAAATATTTAAAGAGCGAATATGATAATGTTAAGTAATATAATACCACGATAAAATATAGAATAGAATTAAACATTATATGATGTATAAATGAAAATCTTCTTTGCGATTGTGTCAATATTTAAAATTTTATTCTGTATTGGGGATTAAATCTCAATGTATATTAAGTTATATTTCATTCAATCTATGATGTCGTAATTTTGAGACAGATTTTTATTCTCCATAATGAAGAAAAGATACTCTCATTTGTGTTTTAATAATTAGTTTTGTCGCCAAAATATACAGTAATTTTAATATATTTGGAAAAAAATCCAGAATATAGTTTGCAATGCCTCCATTGCGTTTCTAGGTAGATTGTCTACTAAATTTTCTCATAACAAGATTTAAAATCTGAAAGGCCTTCAGATAGATTTAATTGTGCACGTTAATATTAAAAGAATTTGTTTGTCTAGGTGCAAGTAGAGGCCTGAAAATCTCAAGATCATATAATTTAGCTTTTGCCTTTATAATCATATCGGCGTGTAACCAATAAGATGGAGAGGGGGCATCGTAAATTTGTCTGTTTTCATAAATATCATTTGAGTTAATAAAAAATTTTCGAAGGGCTTTATGTATTTAAATATTTCTGTGAATCCACCATTCGGGAATTCCGGAATCTTCGGACATGAAAGATAACATGTCAGATTCTGAATCAGCGTTTGACTGGCAGCGGGCAGATTTGGGGAGGATTATTATTATTGTTATCATTGTTTAAGCTCTCGCTTCCGGAATCTGCCTCGTTACCTTTATCATCAGGTGAGAACAACTAATGGCTCAGTTCCCTAAGGTATCTATTAACATTTTTAAGCCAGTCTGGGAACTGCGCTGGCTCCCCTCTTCGAGCCGGAGGATCGTTGCCCGGACGAATATTTCCTGCATGTATTCGTGTAGGTAGCCCTAAACAGGGCTGTTGGGTATTAGGTGGCCTTGAAAAGGGCCTTTGGGTATTGGAGTGGAAGGGGGTAAGACGAAGAAGGAGAGGAAGAGCTGGAATGCATCGCTACTTCCTTTTCTTTCCCCTGGTGGCTTGCGCTTCCTTCTTCTCGGACCTCCTGCGATAAGAGGTAGAATGGGCCCCACGGCCCCTCTCTCGAAAGGGCAGCCCCTCATGGACGACTTTGATGTCTTCTCCACATAGGAATTTCTCTTGATAAGACATGTCCTTTGTCCTGGCTGTGTACCAATTCCAGCGAATTACTACCGCTAGAACTCGAATTCTTTTGGTCATTACCTCGATTAAACGCGGGTCCGACTCCACCGAAAGGACATCTTGGATATGTTTGATTTCGTGCATGTCTCTATCGTTGGCCTTGCATCGGGGTTCGGCCAAGTCTTAGTTAAGTCCAGCCCAAACTTCCATGAGTTTGACCTCTTTCTCCTCGGTGGATAGTGGGGGTGGTGGTAGGAGGAGATGGCGGTGTCAGCGCTCTGCTATCATGTCGAAGCGGAGTCGAGGTAGCACTTCTATGCCAAGAAGGGGAACTCCGGCGCTGCTCACTTCTATCGACTCTAGAAGATAAGGCCACCATCTGTGCCGAGATTGTTTGCATGGCGGCCATTATTGCTGCTATTCCGGGATCACACGGAGGTGCCTCCAAAGAGTTGTTGGGAGTTAGCTCGTACAACGCCAGACCCAATATGTTGGGGGCTGATCTAGCAGAAGTGTTTTGGCCAGTTTGGCTGAGGTTTCTGGGTGGTCACACCATTGAAAAACAAAACACAAAATAGTATACAAGAAAAACAAAATAATGACAAATTAGTAATATATGATATTTATAGTAATACTAATAATATTCCTCATCCTGAATATGTTTTAGACATAATCCACGACTACACTTATAATCTTAATGTCGTAATCTGATCAATTTATGCAAGTTTTATGGGGATATTGCAAAATGTCAATCACAATATTATATAATGTTGATTGGTTGGAAAAATGTTAGTAATAATGATATTTTTATTAATTAAGAATTTTTGAATCGATATAATTTTTGATGATCATTTTTAAATTTTGAGAATTTTATAAAAAATGAATATATATTTTTTCCATTTTTGCTAATAATTATATGTTTCTAAAAATAAATTATTCATATACAAATTATTTTAAAAAAAGTAAGTATAAAAACAAACAAAAATCCCTTAACAAATCCCTTACTCTCAACCTTTCCTAAACTTAACCGGTAATTTATAATTGTTCCTTTAGGAGCTAGAATTAATTTACACAAAATATTCTTTATTAGTAAAGCACAATTTACAAAAAAAAATCTCCAAAATAAATATATATTCATTTTATAACATATATTTTATAAAAAAAATAATAATACAAATTTCAAATATAAAAATATATTATCAAAAAAAATCTCATAATTTTTAATAATCCTTTCTTTTTTAATTATATTCGAACACAAAAAAAAATTATAAAATCACGTGTTCTTAAATGTTAATTATAATCATGTTAATTATAATCCAATCAACCTTATTTATTTTGGTTGATTGGCATTATGCAAAATTCATATAAATTCGTATATAAAAATACGACAATTATTTTGTTTATTTTTCTTTTAATTGGATTAATAAAAAAGAGAATTTATAAATTTTAAGAAATTAAATACCCGGAGAGATCTGTGTTACTTATCCTTTTGTTTACAATGAAATTTATTCTTCCAAATTTTATTTTCTTATATTGGCAATTAAAATTACTTTTTCATGTATTTGTATAAAAAATGGATGTATTCCTCTTTAAAGTCAATTAAGATATCACATAAATAAGATGATATAAAAATTAATTATAAATTTCCATGTTTCTTTTGGTCATATAAACCTTTAAAACAAAGTTAAAAAAATCACAATTTTGGGTTTTTCATACTTTTGGATTCTTTATTAAGGTATTTCTTCATAAATTAGAGTTAAGTCCCGTCCCGAATACGGAGGTATAACTAGAGTTCCGAAAGGTATAGGGTGGGGGGGGGGATTGATTTTATTCCCAATTATATAAGATAAAACTAACACAACTCCCAAAATCGTTCTTTTTTTCACTCTGCGCCAATTTTATTTTTATTTATAATAAGCGCTTTTTATTTTCCTTATTACTAATTTTTATTTTCCTTATTACTAATTTTTATGTTTACATTATTTATATATTTTTAGTTTGTAAATTTTTATTATTAAATAATTTCTTTTTAAAAAACTATTATTTTTGTGATTTAATAAAATTAAAATTGAGTTTTAAAATTTATATACATATAATATATTAATGTTTCCTACTCTACTATCCGTAAATGAACCTCGCAACTTTAGAAAGTTTCCAAATTTTTATCAATTCAGATAGCGAGAATAAAAGATCAAACTCGATGAACAAATCAAACAATGTGCAAACTGTCATTTTTATAAATATCTGATGACAAATTAGAATGATGAGATTGTTTATTTTTAAATTTCATAAATATGTTGTAGAAACCAAAAGGAAGAAGTGGGAAACCCTCTCCCCCCATCTCAAGGTTGATTTTTTAAATATCATTTTAAGCTGATAAAAAAAATCCTAAAACACTTCCCTCTCCCCAAAAAATTATAATGAGTCATTACAAACAAAATTTTTAAAAATAAGAAAAAATTAATAATTTTATGATAACTATAATATAAGTTTTGAGATAAATAAGTTCATTTTTTAAAAAAAATAAGAATAAATTAATAAATATAAGTTTTAAAATAAAAAAGTTCATTTTTCTTAAAAATAAAAAAGTTCATTTTTCTTAAAAATAAAAATCAAATAATATTTATAAAAATGTAATTCAATCAAGGGTATTCAAAAAGGGGGACCTAAAGATGTTCAAAAAAATATACAGATGAAAGTAAACCACCCAAAAGTCCCAATCCTTAAGAAAATCCTGCGAATGGTATTCAGGATATATGCTAATAAAAAAGGAGGATAAAATAATAATTTAACTAGGAAAACATCTTAATTAATAAAAGATTTTTTTAATTCTGGATTATTCAAGGAAATATTTATATAATATAAGTTTTTATAATATAATTATTGTAAAAAAAGTAACTTATTTATATTTTATAATCTTTAATTTTTAATAGATCATTTGACGATTTCTATTTCTATTTATGTTATGATTATATGAAATAAAAATAACATGTATAATTATATAATTTTGAAATCTAAAAAAAGTCTAAATGTTCAAAAAAATATATTTTAATTTATTTTTTTTTACTGAAATAATTATTTCTATATACTTATCTAATTATATTTTTGATGACTGGCTAGCATCGCTTCTGTGCCATTTATTATATTATTTTTTACTATAAAAAAGGTTTTTTTTACTCTAAATGGTATAGATGGTCAGTTATTATATTTTTATTGATCAAAAAAATATTTACCTATTTTGAATTTATTTCAAATTTTTACTGGTTAAATATTAATTTTATAATGATAAAAAAGATATGTATTGACAAAAATACTTATTATTTTTTAAAAATACTGGGTTTTAATTATTCACCAAAATAAATATGACTTTTTTCGATATTTTAGATTTAAACATAATACCTCATTCGTTAGTAGATTTTCTTCTAGAAAATATCGCTCAACCGTACAAATGTCAAACCCGGTTACTAGTCCTGTGTCAAAAAAGGTTAATATATACACCTCGATAGCTTCAAATGGAGTTGATGACATTATGCATCACCTTAACTTAACTAGTTCTTCGGAAACTTTGAATATAAAAAATCCAAACGAAAGTATATACTATATTAGTTTAAAAAAATGTAGATAATTTGGGTTGGAAAAATAAGCTTATGTTCAAATTCAAAAGCATTATCAAAAACTCTGTATTTTTAGGAATTATCAGAGACTTTTTAAAATTCAAAAACAAAAGATTATTATCTTTTACTAAAATATCAATCGAGTTCACTGTATTGTTTGACGATATCATGATTAAGTTGTATTTATTTAAAATCTTAAATATTCCTTTATCAATGTTCAATAATTGATTAAAAAATAAGAAAACTTTTATTTTTTGAATAATTTTTGTTTTTTATTTTTTCCAGCCCTAAAAATTATAAACTAATATTTTTCCAGCTTTGCCTATTAATATAAGGTTTATTCATTTTATTTTCCCCTATTTTAATGAATTTGGCAATATTAATCCCGATCATCTTATTAAAATTTAAACTATGTTTCAAAACTTATAGAAGAAATAGAAATTGGAAAATTTTCATAAATTAAATTTAAACAAACTATTATAATTTTTAGAGATATTAGAAAACTGTTTTGGATAATTTTTATTTTTTTTTATGAAATAATGCTTATCTCTATAATTTTATAAATTTTAATATATAATATTAATTTTTTCTAGATGAAATAGTGCCAATTCAAATAAAATTAGATGATGTACATAAGGATGCGATCCGTTGTCTACGTAAAATCAAATATTTTGTTGCAAGAAGAAAATTTAGAGAAGCATTAAAGCCATATGATGTAAAAGATGTCTTAGAGCAATATGCGGCTGGTCATATCGATTTAATATCTAGAGTTAAAATTTTGCAACACAGGTCTTTCCTATATTTTATTTTTATTTGATTTTTAATCCAATGAAACTGTATCATTATAACCAGATATAGTTTTGTATTTTATAGATTTTTCTAAATTTCTAATATTAATCTATATTTTTTGAGCACTTATAAATAGTTCAGGGAGTCGATGGCGAGTTTTACGGTGTGCTCAAGCCTACGGAAATTAGCCACACCTATATTAACAAAACAATATTTTATAGAAAAATTATGCCAAATTATCTGTAATATAATTAACTATTTATTATAATTCCTCGAATAATAGATCCGTGGGATGAATTAAAATAATTGCTGTTATTTCCAAAAAGATCGAACGCGTTCAAAATTCATTAAAATAGAACGCGTTTACGTTTGACGATTACCTTTTAAAAAAAGGAGCGCATACACGTCCGTTTAAAACTTTTTCATTTTTTAAAATTTTATTTAATATTTAATTTAATATAAATAAATAGGCATCACTTCAATTCGGAGCACGACAATTGGTCGCACGACAATTCGATGCTAAAAATTTAGCGCGATGTCATTTCGGCGCAGCGTCAACTCAGCGCGGCGACAATTCGGCAAGGCTTCAATTAGGTGCGTATCTATTAAGTTGCGATTTTTGTATAAAACAAAAGGGATCATCAAATAGAAATCATGTTGAGGGTTGGATATCAAAAAAAATTTAATTTAATACAAATATTTAAACTCTGATTTCTTTGGTGGATCAAATTATCATGTAATAAGATATGCTGATCCAAAAAAATTCAAATTATTTTTAGAAGGAATTTACAAAGGGGAAGTCTCATACTAGAGGTTGAATTTTTCAATCATATCCAGCGATTGTATTAATTTAGAAATTAATTATTGACTTAAAAATAGATTTTCATTTAAGACTGACTTATTTTATAGATTTATTAAAAATCCTTAAAATAATTATATTAATCATAAAAAATAAATATCATTTTTAAATCAGGGTTTCGAATCGAACCGCGAAACAGGAACGAACCGTTATAATTTTCTGAACCATAACCGAACCTTTATAAAATGATATAAAAAACCAATTTAAACCGGATCACAATGAATTTCAAATTATTAACCTAAATTTGAAATTTTAATTTTCCTTGGGGGTAATTAAAATTCGTGATTTCTTATCAAAAAAATATTTTTATGCTTAGCTATTATCATATCAATAAATACCAAGTTTATTGTTTTTATACTTTATATACTCAATTTAAGAGATTAGGAAAATTATTAGTTAATTAGATAAGAAATAATCTTCATGGTTAAATTAAATAAGGAATTATAAAATTAAATCAAAAAAATCTTTCTCTAAGAGTAATATATATTTATGGTTTATGATTTATTTTTTTAAAATGTCAAATTTATAATAATCGGAACGAACCAAAATGATAGTCTTCAAAAATAACCGAGATGGAACAAAATCTTTATAAAATTTTAAACTAAAAACTGAACCCCTATAATGAACGGTTCGAAAGTCTGTTTTAAATAATTTGATTTTTTTAAAGATCAACATATCTTGAAGCAAATTGGTCCACCAAAGAAATCGGTATAAATATTGGTTTATTAATTTTTTTTAATATTATTAAATTTTTTATTGATATTTATTACACATTAAGCAAATAAAATTGAATTTTTGTAAAAGAAAAATAAGAAGAAATAATTAATACAACATTCAAAATGACTTCTATTTAATCATCCTTATGTTTTATACTAATAAATTTATAATAAATTTCAACTGTAATAGATACACGAATTGACGCCGCGCTTAATTAATACCGCGCCAAATTAACGCCATGCAAAATTTTCCGCGTCACCAAATAAATACCATATATTTTTCAACACAATATATTAAACATGTTTAAAATTAAAAGATTTAAGTCAATAAAAAATTTTTAATATATAAAACAAATATTTTTTTACTTTCAAAGGAATAAAAAGATTTTCTAAAATTGACTGAACGCAAAAAACGAACGCATTCGTCAAAAAATAAAAGGAACGTCGTTTATCATTTTTTTCAAACAAATTAACTTCGTTCACGAACACGTTCGCTTACAACATTTAACAAAACTTATTAATTAGGGAAAGATTCGAAAAAGGAAAGAGTTAATTTTATAATATCAAATGTAATATTCCAAATTAAGAATAGCATTTAGTAGATGAAATGATAAGCTTGACAAGAATTTTTAAAAGATATTTTTAATTTTAATAAAAAATAATAGACATTTTTTTAAAATTATCAAATATTCACCAAACCGATACAAATTTAATTGGGTCCACGAATATACCAATACAGATGCCTTTTTAAAGTCTAGAAATATTTTTTATAGACTATACTACTGGTGCACTACATAGAATAGGAAAATGTTAAATAAAATTTCAATTCTGTGCAAAAGATGTTTTAACGTTTTGTTTTACACTGAAATATTCCAATTATTACATTCATCAAAAAAATAAATGTTCTTTTTTGAATAGTTTTAATTTGGGATGCTCGATTTGGTAACACGAGTTCTATAACTCTGGGGTTTGGATTCAACCCCATTTAGCTTTTTAAGCACGTACGCAAGGGAATTCGTTGGTAGGGGGGGAGGGGGGGGGGGTGTTGAGGGGGTGATTAAAATTTTTTTAAGTAAATAATTCTAGGTTATTTAAGAGTATCTCAAGTTTCATAAATTTATTAAGACTAATGACTATAAAATATTGAAAATTTATACAAATTCAAATATAAATTAATGGTAAAATATTAAATGTAGTGTTAATGTGTTGTTTTTCATCTTTAAATCATTTTTAAGTGTTTTTTTAAATTTAAAATTTCTATTTTACCAGAAAGTATTTTATTATGTTTGAAATACCTACCTATGAATTTTAGATAATTTTTTGTGAACTTAATATAATTTATATTAGTGTTTCCATTACAGGAAAAAACACATTGACGCTAATATATAAAATCGGCGTATGAATCATTTATCATTTTAAGAGTAGTACTCAGTAGTGTTGAAATGGCTCGATTTGAGCAGATTTTTAAAAACGGCCAAATTAATATTTTATTCATAAGCCTGAAGATTTTTCTAATAGATGACATAAAGGTTTGGACATATATTAGTGAAATCTCAAGACTTAACCAATATTTTTCTGGCTATAGTATAATTAGCCGTTTTTAAAAATAGGCTCAAATCAAACCATGTAGCAATACTACTTCTAATATTTATATTTTTGTAGTGAAGAAATTGTTCTTTCATTGACTGGCCCTATATTCCGGCGCGTACGCAGCGGGGGGCAGAGGGACAAATCCTGTACCTAAAGCCAAAAAATGCAGATGTCGGATATATTTTTCAAAAATATTATTATTTATTATATTAATTTATATTTGTTAATATTTATTCCTATCTCATATTAAATATATATTTAATTACATTTATTATCACATTCATCTACTAAGTTATTTTATCAATTAATTTCGATTTCAAGTTTTTCGGCGTAATATTTACTTTATTTTCAAATTTTTAGTGGCGTAAATATTTATTTACCATTTTCAAATTTCTAGTCAAATAATCATTATTTCTGAAACTTCTTGTCCAACAGGGAGAAAAAAATTGCAACCTTGTCGAGATCGACTCTTCGCCATCAAGCAGTAACAGCTTTTATGGAGTTAGAAGAGCCGATTATTTGCTATTACTGTAATATCACAATGGCCTGAAATAAATATTTCCTCAGAAGCAATAAAATTATTGGGTTCAATGCTTATTCCAAATTTTTTTTCTCATTAGAATGTATTATAATTATACAACTATTTTATGTATTACTTTTCCAAAACATGACCTTGATTTGATTAAGAAGATGAGAATAGCGGAGAGCATTTAATTAGAACTCAAGGATATTAGGGCTAATGTTGATGAAAAATTTTATATTTTATATGATATTGTTGTCAAAAGCAGAGCTATACTTGTTTAATATTTGTCTCCCTCGATTGCAGCAAGGCAAGCTCATCGTTAAAACATTAATATAGGATCCGTATCAGTAGAAGAGTATATCTTAAATATATTTATAACCCAAATAAATGAATAGTTTTTAATTCATCATGCAACACTTACCAATCTGAAAATATTACTTCCACAAAAGCCTTTGCAACCTTTTTCAGATGGTGATAGAAAAAAAAGATTTGTTAGATTTTTATCATGAAGATGTTAAAGTATCTTATGATGCCTTATTAGTTGAATAATGTTTATAAGATTAACTATGGATGATATAGTCCCAAAAAATGCTATGGATGCTCTGCATTATTTTAAACACATTTTAGATTATATTCCCAATGTATTAAAAGGGTTTATATATCTTAGCAACTCTTCCCATTAGTAAACTAATTAGAGAACATTCTCTTTTTAAAGAAGAATAACAGAGCCCTGTAGAGGTAATTTCAGGGCACGGCCCGATTTTTTTCTAAAATTTTTTACGGCCTGGTGGGGTTTTTTAAAAAAATTTTTAGACCCGGCTTGGCTGTTAAAATAAAATTTTCATGACCAGCCCGGATTTTTTAAAAATAAATTATATTTATTTTTGAATTTTATAGCTAATAATAACGATTCAAATATAGACTGTTTTAAAATATACAGCCCGGCCCGGATATTTTTTTAAAAAATTCAGGCCCAGCCCGGGTGTTTTTTTAAAAAAAAAATTCGGGCCCAGCCCGGGTATATTTAAAAAAATTAAAATACGGTCCGGCCCGGGAGCTGGGCCTGCAGGTCTCTGAAAAACATTCCAAAAAGTACATCCTCTGAAAGTAGATTGAAAGGTTTGTATCTTTTGAATATTCATAGGCATTTGACGACAAGCAAGGATGAGATAATTGAAAAATTAACACAAACCTAACGATTGGATTTTACATTGTAAATATATAACATACAAAATACAATTATTCCTAAGAAAATTTTTGTGTATTAATTTATATTTCTTACATTTAAATTTTTTATACTTTTATATATAAA